CAACACAGTTTACTTGAGCTGTAAACCTGAAGAGTATTGTATAGGAAACATAGTAATAGTGAGTGTGTGCATCTGTCTTCCAAATGGACTGTTGAAAGTGACCTTGAAAATAATTTAGAACAGCCTTAATGGTATGTTTTAGATACCTGTCTAGAAAAGGACAAGTGTTTCCTGCACTTTTAAATTTTTTTTTCAAATCCATTCTAATTGGTGAAGAAACTGTTCACATGCAAAAGTTCCATGTAAATAAAACATGGAAGTCCATTAAAATACTTAACTCTAGAAGCTTCTTATTAAAATTTTCTTCTGAGACTACAGATAGTAGTGGAATATTCGAAAAGATCTGGCTCCACAAGAAGTAAAATGTGCTTTAAATGTGGGGAACTTAAAACATTTTAGGACTAGGCTTTTGACAAGTTTCCTCCCTGAATTTCTGAGTTCTCTAATTTTGATATGGTCTATTTATCCTGCTGCCCAGAGAGGTTTCCATAAGGAACCAATTCAGTTTCAGATACACAAGGAGTGACTGTATTTTTTTTACTGCTCTACCAAATTGAGAGCTTAATAAAGTCTACACAAAAAAAAAAAATATCGCCATAGCTAATTTAATTGTTCCCCTATACTGCATAATTAAAATAGCATTTGTGAACTGATTTAAATTTTCACTACACTTGAACTATATAATAAAGAAATCCAACATGGAAGTATCTCTGCTGAAGCTAAGTTTGCTGAAAATCTTAATCTTGCTTTAACTTACTTTTCTTCCCACAATGGTCCTTAAATACCATTATGCTTTGTGAGCAGCAATCACTGCAAGCATGCCAAGTGACCCCAGTCCCCCAGCAAACTGCTAGACCAGAAGTTCAGCATGACAGCGGTACTGTCTTCATACTCAGGAGCTCTGAAGTGATGTAAGTCATGGTATTAAACTGACTGGTTTTGCTTATACAACAGAAACTCCAGACAAACTCCACCTTGCAAAAAAAAAAAAAAAAAAAAAAAGTCAAGCGCTGTTAAAATCACTTAGGTAGTAAAAAAAACGCATATATGTAATAAGGACCATATTTGGTCCCATAAATTGTTATTTTTGTTACCTCCTGAAATGTAACAGGATCTGTATTGCACAGAGCCTTCCTTTCTAGGGAAATGCTCCTGCCATCTGCTGGAAAGTTACAGAATTTAGCAAGTAATTTTTTCAGTAGCATTTTATTTTGCTGGGTTTTAGGTGTTAAATTTTTGGACCTGTTCTTTTGTAAAGATCTGTAGGTAAATGTAACATAGTTCAGAGGCACTTAAGTCAGGTGGTCTGGCAATTGATGGCACCTTTTTGTACACTAAGATATTAAACAAATTACCAACATAATTTGCTACTGACTATGTGGGCTTAACCCTTTCAAGTGAAACACCAACTGACTTTATCCAGTCAGTTAACACTTAAGATGACTTTTCTCCCATCAGCTGACTGGTTAATCATACTAATTTTATGATATGGTTGACTGTGACAAGAAACAAATTAAAATCAGATTGGTTCATGTGGATTACAGAAACATCAAAATCATATGCAGATGATTCTAGATTTCTGGACTGAAATTAGTGAGATAATTCCACATTTTCAGTTCCTTGGGCAAGCCTCTAGCTTGCACGCACCTTAGGTCAGCCTATAAATGCATCTTTAGACACCCCATAATTATAGGTATCCAACATTCCTGCAGAAATAATGTGGCATAACTATCTAATAATAAACCAAAAATCATTATGGAGTTACCTAATAACTACTAAAACCATTCTGCATCCTCAAAGTTTATGCAGAAACAGGACTGTCCTCTAGATTTTACTATTAAATAATCTTCAGGTTCATATCAACATGATGTAATGAAAAAATACAATATTTAAGCATCAAAATTCTCAGCTATATGTAGCTAATACTTGTTTGCTCTGTTACTGCTCCATGACTAAGGCCCGTTCTGAAGAAACAGAACTCATCTTGCATATGAAGTAAACTGTCTTGCTATTTATCCCAGGTGAAGATACAGCAAAGAAACTGCAGAACACAGAGCTGGATAAGATACCTTGAAACTGCTCTCCGTGTGGAGGCTTGTGATGTCCATAGGCAAACTTACAGACACCTTCAGTCTACTGGGGATGGACAACTCAAACAGAAGCAGAACAAGAGTGTGGTAGGAGCAGAGAGCAGAGTTAAGCTAGAGTTAAAGGGACAGGAAAATCCATTAAAACCCCATAAAAGTAGAACGTTGTATCTTTCCATCACTTCATACTTTTTCTTGCACAGAATTCCACCTTCCAGCTATAGATGAACCTGCTCTGCAGATGAATCAGCAAATGAGGCTTCTGCCAGGAAGAGTCTTGATTTATTTATTTATAAGAGTCAGAGGGAATACAATTAAAGAGAGAAGGGGTAACACAAAGAAAGTGTGTTCTCATGATCAAGAAAATGGGGAAACTGGAGGAATAATTTTGTCTCTGACACCAACGAGTTCATATATGATTTGGGGGGGCTCACTTAAGAACAAAGGTCATCATAGACGGATACTAGGCAATCTGGGGGGGGATCTTTTTTGGTCATATTTTTTCATTTGTTTTTTAAAAAGGTGCCTGGGTCATGGTGAGGGTTCAAGTCTGACCTCATTCCAGCAGTGTATAAAGGTGGGCTAAGATTGGGCTAGAAAAGTCCTTTTGTTCTGTGAAGGATCCTGCATAGTGAAGACGGATGGGATGCCTTGTCACTATCGTCATGTGGCTTTGTGCTAAGGGGTACAGAAGGTTGCAGCCCTGGCACTCCCCAGAGGTAGCCTTGAACCCGCATGTGAGCAGCTTGGAGAGACAAGGCAAGATTTTTTTTTTATTCAAGTGCTGACTCAGGCAGAACGTATGCACAGCATGTTTTTCATTTATTGGTTGCCCAAAATGAGAGGGCTCCAGGGCCGCAGAAATGCTGAAAGTTCGTAAGTACACTTGTATGCCAAGTACAAAAGTGCCTACTACTGGAGGCATGGCAGAAATATCTTAGGTTTCTTCACTTGGATGTGCAAAATTAATGTTCTTTGAACATGGCAATGTGAATGTAGTTGTACTCCTTTTCTGTGACCTGCAGCATGAGGGCGCTACAAACAGCTGCTGCAGCATGTATGGTGGATTATAGGGTGTTAGAGTAACAGGAGTACCATGTAAATGTATCAAATGAAACTATTCGTTATCAAAATTAGTGCTAGGTTCAGATTGAGTATGATCTATGACCACATACTAAGCAAGCGAAACACAAATACATGTTGAATAAATAGTGCCAGCTGAACTTAATAACATGTACAAAAAATAGTATCCTGTCAAACAGTTATAAGACATATACAGGATAAATCTAAATCAAGACTGAATGGGCAATTTTAATTTAAGAATTTCCTTAGCTTTTCCTTCCCTTTAAACCCTCATAAGTTCTGTAATGTGTTTTGATTGAGTAAATATGTACAGGGTTTTTTTGTTAGTGCAGTGTAATATCAGTTACAGTCAGACTGAATTCCAGCATTTCACATGATTTCAGTTCAAAGTCTATGTATAATCAGCTTTGATTTTTCAGCACCCTCTAGTGCCAGCAGCCTTTCCTTTCATCCTAGGTAGCTGAGGTAATATACTCCTGGTTTTGCCTTTTTATTGGATTTCCTGATAGTCTGAATGTTTAAAAATAGCTACAGAAGAACTGGAAAGGACTAAATTGAAACATGTTAAATTATTAAATAAGTGATCATATTATAAAAACAGTCCTTAAAATGCTTTCATGTGAAAACCCTACTTAGAAGAAAAACCAACCATACAAAAGTTTTTACCTGGGAACCAGGAATAATAATCATATTAAAGTGTAGCTTTACAAGCCTGTGGCTGATGTTTTTTACCTACTGTAACTGCAAAAGGAGTCTCTGGAAGATGTGCTACAAGGTTTAGCAGTTTTATGCTCACCACTCTTGCAAGAAAGTAAAGTCATTGTTTACATGAGGACGGGTCAGCTCCTGCTGCCTCCCTCACAGATCCTCCACGGTGCTGTATACTGACTCTTTTTCCTCCTTTACAATTTTGTATCTTTACACCGGTGCTTTCCCTCTTGGATCCTTGAGCTGCTCCTTAATCCTGTATCAATAATCTCACTTCTGTCTGCAATTTTACTGTTATTATTTTGCACGATTCTCACAATTTAGCGAATTTCTCAGTATTCTAAGCCAAATACGTGCAGCTGGCCTGTCTCAAAACTAGCTTTTGGGTCACAGACAGCTGAGTCCACAGGAGAAGAATGACATGTAAGTGAAAGCCCACTGCTGTTTCCCCCCTGTGCCCAGCCATCTCTAATCTTGCGCTTTGGTCCAGGTGTTCCCAAAGACCTCCGTACCACTTAGTCCCCAGCTGAGCTTTCGCAGGTAGATTATGCAACTGCTCTTGAAAGGCAATACCGTCGCAGCAGACCTACTACCAGCTTTCATGAATGTGTAATTCAGGCAGTCTCCCGGAGCGCATCTGGGCTGCTTTGTTGGGTTTTGGTAAAACGCTAGAATTCAGCTGCACCAAGGACCCGATAAACAGTAATACATCAGTAACTACTAACAAGAAGTTACTGTCTTCTGTTTCTAAGATTGTAAATTTTGTTTTCAAACATTGGCATTAAACTGCCAAGGAAAGGGCAACCATTTCCCTATCAGTTTACACTGGTAATTCATTATTCATCATACAGAATTAGAGAGCTTAATTGAAGGTCTTTGAGAGAAGTCTCGAGCAATGCACCATAGAAGCTTGGTAGCTAAGATGCTGTTGATTCTTTCCAAGTAAAATATAAATTGATCTAAAAAAAAACAGTGTGACAGCTGCTTTTTTAAAAACAAACAAACAAACAAAATGTTAATTTGTTTGAAAGAACATTGTAAAAGTAATTGAACATGGGATTGATGTCTGGAAGTTACACTTGATATAGAGCTTTTTATTATTATCATTACTAATGTCATAATATGTTTGCTGCTGCAACCAAAAACTTTGTTAAACAGGTTGGTGATGGAGGAAGACTAGTTCCAGTGCCCAGTCTCAGTGAAGCTGATAAATACCAACCTCTGAGCCTTGTGATTAAGAAAAGAAAATGTTTGCTTTCAAAAAAGTCTAAATTTGCTTCAACACCTTTCACATTAAAAGACATTCTTCAAGGGGAGAAAGAAATTTCTGCAGGTAAGATTTCTATCTTTCTTCAAAGTGGAAAATTGCATGTTTTCTAGTAAATATGGAACAGTAGACATAGTTTAAACTGTTCAGGTAGTATGATGGTTCTTTAGTACATGGCTAGTAAAATTTGTCTTGCTTAGTCATGTAATAAATACTTAAGAAAAAAGTACAAGTCAAAAAAAAGAAAAGGACTTTGGAAAAAGAGTAAAAAAAAGTCAACTATACTAAAAAGCCTTGATATTTTCTGCACTAATATGAAACAAATTCAGTTTCATAACAGATTCTTGATAGATGTATTGATGTATGTTGATTAATAGCTACTTAAAATTTTTTGTTCAGCTTTCTCCATATACTTGCTTTTAAGTATGCAAGCATGGCCTCAGTTCTGCAGCTGTCCCATGCTAGTAATCCCTGGTGTTCAGCTGGGCTCTGCACAGGCAGAAGCATTTAACAATAACAGCAATCTGACTGAAGTAATTGGATTTCCATAAGATTTTTTTCCCACATTTGTAATCTTTTCTTGTGTATTTAAAGAGCTTAACTGTGTTTCAGTTGCCTTTGCTATGCAGTATCAGAAATGTTTTGAGGAGATTCTATGAGAATTAGGAGGTGCAGAATTGAACTATACTGCCTATATTTTCCCGTACCTTTCTTTGAAAAGTCTGTGTAATTCTTGTCTACATGCTATGTTTTACCAAAACAGTTTTATTGCTTTATTTTCTTTTGAAAAAAGGTCCATTTTGACAAAAGTATTGATTGCATTAGTTGCACAATTGCTTTAATTAAAAACTCCACTAGGACAAACCAGTATGAGCACAAGAAGACAGAAATACCAGTTGACCCCACAAAGGAGTGATGCCAGGACGCAAGCATGATGAAAAAAATTGGAATCCTACTAATCCTATTAGTCTTACATTCAGGACAAGTCAGCTGGCTTGTCCTGAATGAAAAAATTGAAAAATCTCATTAAAAAGTCAGAGAAAAAGGTTGCAAAATCTCATTGAAAGTCTCACAAAACCTTACTAGTCTTTTCTGTAAAGGTTAGATGTCATGTGCAGAAAGTGTTGTCTTTGAAGGTAAGCAGAGTACTTTGTAATTGAATTTCCTTTTTTATGTGACAAATACAAACATTTTCAGTCTTTTTAGAATTATGAAAAATATATGAACTTTTTTTTTTTTGGTTAAAAAATAAAGACAAACAGGATTCATACTAGGTGACTGTAATGTCAGTTTATCCTAAAAGCTTCAAAGGTTTAAAAAAAAAAAAAGAGTAAACCCCAGACTCTCAAATGTATTTGGATGCCTAATCCCTGTGTTCTACCTGCATTATTCATTTTAATTTGGCAACCAATGCATTCCAATGTTTTTCTGTTCGTGTAACATGTATTTAAGGTTATAAAGAAAGCATTATAGAAATGTTTCAGCACCTACCCTTTGATTGTACAATAAATCGATGAAAACTTTCAAGTAAGTCAGAAATAATCTGTTGTTTTTCTTCAAAATAAACTGACATTGTCCCTGGAATCATCAGGCATACATGGAAAGTGCAGTAAGTCTTCCTAATTGTGACATGTCAGGTAAAAGGCAAAGTTAATGTTACTGGCACATCCATGTCTCACTCACGTATTGCAAAAAAGAAGAAATATTAGGTTCATCTGTACTGCATCTAGACAAAATTCAGAATTCACTAATACTATTTTACACACAGCGGCGTTCATTTTGTTCCTAGTTTTAATATTCTGTGTGGCCTTCACTAAGTCATTTTGTGTTTCAGAGCCTCTGTCGTTAAGCCCAGAACATGCTACATGTCTAGTTTATACAAGTACCAACAGCGTACTTACGGGTGAAAGTACTTTAGGAGAATAACAATGTAGAAATCTAGAAATAGCCCTAATCACCATTTCATGCCCAGGACATATCACATGCAGGAGCACGGGCACAACCCTGCCAGAGAGAGGCACAGAAATCCTGCAGACCCCTATGCACTCTCTTTCCATTAGTCATCAGTAGTAACATCAATAAATAAGTGCTCAATGTAGCTCTGAATTTCACATCAAAATGGTTAAGCACAGTAGGAACAGTGCCATTTATTCTCTTCTTGCTGTGTAAAAATAGTGCATTCAGACTTTTCATCACACAACGGTTATCTTCTTTTACACAGGTGTCTCATCTTACCAGTTGCTCAACTATGAAGACAAATCAGATGTTTCACTTAATGGTAGAAGAGGAAATCAGATAATGAATGATGTTGGTTTTGATGTTGCTGGATCAGATTCTGTTGCCTTTAAAGCTTCGTTTGGCATAGTGACCAAACATGAGGTTGAAGTACCAACATTACTTAAAGAACTCACTACAAGGTTATATTACATTTTTTGTTTTCTGGTTCCATAGTTGTATTTCATACAGTTAGGTTGAACCTCTGAAATGGTTAGGTTTTGATTATTTTTAGCCAATCAATAGCAGTTACCATCTGATATTTTCCAGGAGTTTCAGGTTGGATCACTGGAATTAAACACATGACCTTCTGTATAACACAGACTGTAGAATTTTTCTGGATTAATTTTTGTTTGAATTACAGTGCATCTTTCCAGAAAAAAAAAAAAAAAAATCCAGAGAAGAAGAGTCCATCCAAGGTCCTATCTATGTTATTCCATACTGTTGAAAATTTGAAATTTACTTTGAATTATATTACCCAACTTCAGGTTTCAGAATTAAGATTTCTTTGCCTTTGTATGATGAACTAGAGAGCTATACATATTATTGCCAGTGTAGGTACTTAAAGGTTTTATGAGGTTATTACATAGCCTTTTCTTTGAAAAGCAAAGTAGGTTTATCTACTTCAATTTTTCATAACCTCCTGTGGCTCTTCTCTAAATGCAGTCTCCATTTTTCCCACACCCTTCTTGAGCTGTGGATGCTGAAACCGAACTTTGTGTTCCTGTAGTGCTAGCACAAATCTCAAACACATAGAAATATGATATGACTAATTCTAGGTGTAATTCTCTAGGTTATATTTCAAAGATTATCCCTTGGCCACAATGTCATCCCAGTGAATCCCAGTGTTGCATCCCAGTAAATTATTTACTATGCATGATGTGACATTTGGTATTTTCAAATATATATTGTTTCCTTGTAGTTATTTACCAAAGAGTGCATGTCATTTTGTATCTGTAACCTCTCATGTTCTGTACCTACCTTTTCCTGGTTTACTTGTAACCTCCAAACATTATCATTAATAATTGGGGGTGGGGGAAGAGGTCCTAGTCTGCTGATAAAAATATTCAATGTTATAGGACTAAGAGCCTATGCCTGTAGAAATTCTTCTACAAACAGTTGTTTCATGATTGTTCCATGTTTACAAGTGATACAGTTTTTTTTCAGTTATAGTTGACATGTATCAATTAACCAGTTTTTAATCCATTGAGTGTATGCCAGCTTGTATAGGTATCATTTAAGCTTCTAACCAAAACATTGCATCATCATAAGCTTTATAGAAGCCCAAAGGTAAAGCGTTACAGCTATTGCTTTTACTGTCTATTTTTCATAAAGTCTCACTGACTGACATTAATTATATCGCTTTAAAAAAATTGTTATTAAGTAGGGTGTGTTGACAGTTCCTTACTGTCACTAAGAGCAGCGTCAGATGGACAGACTTGGAATTTTCCAGGGTGTCCCACACATCCTCCCTAACGTTTGTACATTACTGGCTTTCCTTGAATTTTTTAGTGCTTCTGTTCCCAAACACTATAAATCAGTGTTAAGTTTCCAGAGACCTCCTCAGTCAGTTGTTTTACTGCTGTGAGACAGAACTTATGGTGATTTATTTACTGATTTAAAGTTACTAATTCTATTAGCTGCTTTGTAAATTGCTAATAATCTCTGAATTTCCTTCCTGCCTCCCTCTTGATTTTAGAAAGATAAACTTTGATCATTGTCTAGTCCATCAATCAAGAAAAAGTAGGATGGAAATTTTGTGCGTGGTCATGGAAAGTATTAGAACTACAAGGCAGTGCTCATTAACTGTTCATACTGGAATGCGTGGAGAGACAATGAGGGTAAGTATGTTCGACAAAGTTCTGTAACTTAAATGAACAAACGTAATGTTACGGTTGGATTTAATTGCATTTTTACTGATGGAAGCTCAGAAAAAATCTGAAGTCAATCAGTGTTATTCCACTGATGTAAACTGAATTAAAAGTTCGTCTGTTGTTAGTATTGCTTATTGTGACTGAGGGATGGGAAATGCATGAAAGGATGGCTAGACAATGAGCCATTGCTTTGGGTGAAGCCTCAGCAAAAATGTGGAATTTACTACTTCTTAGTTTGAATCTCCGATAAATGTATAACCTATCTTTCATTATTGCTTTCATTATTGTATTCATCATCTATAACACATTGGGACTTCAGGATGTTATTATTTCAAGGGTCAGCATCTTACTCCCTGTCTTATGTTCTTCCTCGCTCTCTCTCTTCAGTGTGTTTGAATAATTGAACCTACAAATCTTCTGAGGTTTGCCCATTACTAGTATTTATAAATCATTCACATCATTTTCAATGAGTGATGCAAGTTAAGTTACTAGCTCTGTATCAAACTTTATTAAAATGCAAGTTGTTAATAGAAAATTCTTTAGTTGTAAAATTTGATCTTCAATTTGAAAGCTTCCTCCTGGCATTATAATTCTCAATATATACAGTAAAGATATTATTTTGTTTAATTTTCCATTTCAATTTGTAACTTTTTTTCTTTTGATGCTTTTCTAAATTACAGTTTCACATTATTGAAGATCAGAATTATAAAGGGAGGGACAAAGCCATTGTTTTTCCTGCGCATACGACTATTGCTTTTAGTGTATTTGAACTTTATATTCATTTGGATGGTAATTTTGGTAAGTGATGTGAATTACTGTCATTACTGCTATTATTTATAATGATCTGAGTTTTTAAAACTGTTTTCTTTCTCTTGATATACATAAGCCCAGATCCCATACAATGGTATGCTTTAATTTTATGCACGTAAGTAGTCTGACTTTCTAAGGGAGACAATTCTTGAGAAGATGAACAACGCAAGTGCTAGAAAATAGTCTGTAGTGGAAACATTTTTTTTAAAGTTAAGTATGATTTTGTGATTATTTTTTTTTAAACCCCACACTTGCGTGGAACAAAAAAATCACTTCCTTATATTTCTAGCCTGTAAGGAACAGGCTTAAGAAACCATCTGATGAGTTTTGCATAAAATAGGCAAGTAAAGACCCAAGTAAAGAAGAGAGCGTGCAGAACTTCTAAACTGAGCTAACATTTTTTCCGCATATGGTTATCTGAAGAGATAATCACAATTACTGGAAACTAATAAAAAACCCTGCATAACTCCTGTAAGTTTTTCTCCTTTTGGGAAGAGGATCGCGCTTAAGTATTTACATTATTTGCACTAATTAAAGTGTGGCTTATAACATTATCAATGTTATCAACATTGTTTGTAATAAACCAGAAAGTCAATTTAGGATTTGATCCTAGTGCTTGATAATATCAAATGCAAAACTCCCTACTGACTAGAGTAATGTTAGCTTAAGTTTTAACCACCAGATTCACAGGTACTTAAATACAGGAACCTCTGTGAGCGTCACTTAACTGTTTCAGGAATTGCCTGACTCTCTACATCATTGTGGCTTTCTGTAAATAGCAAGATAAAAGACCTGGTTAGGGAATTAATCTCTGTCTCTGCAGATCTTTATAGCACTATGTTTTAAAAGTTGCAAATAGCTCCATAGTGTTTGGCATACACGGTATAAAATTTCCATGACTCTGCAATGTAAAGCACCTTTTTACTGAACCGTGAAATACCTTTACCCTTCTATAAAAACTTTAAATATACTCCAAACCAGGCATAATTACTGGATTAAAAGTAAAAGCAATAATGCAGTATGGTAGTTCATTATACTGACTTCCACAATGTTCAACATTAGTTTCAGTTTTAGAAGTGTTTTAATTTTATTTTGCCTTTATGCAATGGTAGGTACATACACAGTGTTTTTCCTGAAGTCATTATCAGTGAAATAATCAATGAAGCTGATGTTTGTATTTGCATAATTAAAGAGAATTCTCAATTGAGAAAGTTTAAAACATGTTTTTTCAGTTCCTTTTAATTGATTATCCTTATATTTTGCTTTAAAGGTTTTCTTTCAAGTTTTGGATAGAAACTTACATGATACTTAATTTTATTTAAAAAAAAAAAGCATTTTAGCAGTTGATTTGGTGTTGGAAGAGATGACTACAGAACTCACAGCCTTGCTGATTATTTTTCATTTTTTGTTTCAAATGAGATCATTGAAATGTTTCTCCTTCAGAAACAAGGCTTCCACTTATATGATATTGCCTGTCTTAGTCCCTTAATGTAGCCATAAATTGTGTATAAACCAAACTCTGACAATGTATGTTGAAAGCCACCAACATTTTAAAATTCCCACTGAATCTGTGTAATTTGATTCTATGGGCAGACTTGTATTAAAAAGTGCCACTAGCCATTAAAACCATTAGCAAAGCTGAATTTAATCACCATTAGCTTTATAGATTTGAAAGCATATTAAACTCTGTTGTGCAATTACTGCTTTTATATTTTGTTCTTCTAAAAATTTATTTTTAATTTTTACAGAACTCTGTGTGACTCCAATTTCAAAAGGAGGATTTGAAAAAGAGAAATCTGGATCATCTTCACTGACCAAATTAAGGAGGTTAAAGAGTAATCTGTTTCATCGAAGTATGACTTTTGATATTTATATCCAAATGGCTTAGTTAATGCATGAAGAGTGTATTTCTGTTTATTTGTGTGCAAGATGAACATTTAAAGAAGAAAATTTAAATGGAAAATGTATCTTTCTTAATTTCTTGTGTATTGAAATGATTGTAAAATTATTAAAATTTATATTTGAGAATCTCTTTCACAAATAACAAATTTATGGTATTGCTGTTCATTAAAAATCTTAAAATAAAAATTTATGGCTGATGATAAACTGGTATGGAGTAATTATACAACTAATTTCAGTTAACATTAAGCCTATTTCATATGCTTGCCATTTACAGCTAGTGTTATGCAATACAAGTTATAATCTATAATAATATTTCAGGGCAAACTTTTTAAGTTTAAATGTCAAATAATATTGCTTTAAATATTTAGATGTACTCTTTAGGCTATATGTTCACATGGCAGGGACATGGGCAAGATACCATTTTAGTTCTCTTTTCTTGTTCTGATATGAACACAACATCCAACAAAACCGAGTATCACTGTATGTAGCTATATTTTCTTCAAAACAAGATCCTATACTTTTAACACTCCTTGGTCTAAGTATTTTGGAAATCTGCAAATCTGAGTGTGAAGATAAATGTTGAGCAGTAAACATATCCATCTAAGGGCTGCTCTGTATAGGTGTCCTTGCTCATTGTATCCTGTCCTTGATCAAAGGGCTTTTATGGACCAAGCCTTCAGTGCTGCTCCAGTCCACACTAAGGGAATAAATCTTCAGTGGGTATGATACATCTCAGTAGCTGTAGCTGCCTGAAAGTTTGTCATCCAGTCTAAACTAATCATTCCCTGAAGAGAGAGGAAAACGGTAGGTAGTTCCAAAAGTGATTTCTTCCTGGGGTGTTTGGATGCTCAGAAATCTGCTAGGTCAACATGGAGTCCTCCAAATTTTCTAAACCTTTTAAGTATTGGTATGTTGGGTGGTTTTTTTTTTTGTAAATACTAGGAAAAAAAAGTAAATTTACAATTTTTAGAAAATAAAACTAGAAATGCAAAAATAAAAATGGTTAAACAGGAAAGTATGCAGCTGTGATTTGATTTGGCACCAATTTTTCAAAAACTTACCTCAAGCCTATCTTTTAGGTGTATTTCTAAAAATACTGTAATTATATAGGTCATATACAAAAAATTTCTGGCTTTTGTCAGTGCCTTGAGAAATTAAAGAAAAATTTTCATCACACAGGGCTTTTGATGGGAAGTAATCTACAACTTGGCATGTTTAGAATGGTTTCATGAATCACTTGTTAGTTCCATAATTAGATTGACAGGTGGTTTTGTAAACAGTTCATCATATAATGACAAATCATTGCTTCTTTTTTTTGTGCGTTCTTTTTCAGATAAAAGAGTAGTGGATACCATTGCTAACTCTGATGCTTACTTCGAGGACCTTTTTACAGATTATTATGAAAAAGCTGCGAGCATGACTGATCTCTCTACAGGCTATCTCAGAGAAGGGTCTCATATCCGAATTAATTTACTTAATAACAACATCCCCAAAGGTCCCTGTGTCCTTTGTGGAATGGGAAGTTCTAAAAGGGAGACAGTCTACGGATGTGTAGAGTGCTCTTTTAATGGACAAAAGTACGTACGATTGCATGCTGTGCCCTGTTTTGACCTCTGGCATAAGAGAGTGAAGTAACTGAGCTAGGTAAGTGCCTGTTGTCACAGGCATGAGCATAACTGTGCCACAAATTTTCAGAGTTAATAAATATGACTCAAATTGTTGAAATGCAAAATAGTGAAAGTGCAAAACATTTTATTACACTATTATCTTCAAATTATTTGCTTCACAGTCAATGACCTTTTAGTTAAAAATGCCCTCATGCATTCCCTGACATAGCTTTTCTTCTTTCTAGAACCTTCTCCATTCATTATCATGATAATGAAAAATGTACGTTTAAACTGAATTTCCATAATGTTAAAATATATGCTAGAACTTATTGTAAGTTGTTTACACAAACTTGTTGTTAAATCCCAAAATGTTGCCTTTATCTACACTGGCACATGATAGTAAAATGAGAATATTTGTTAATAATTTAGTGTTCTCATGAATGTTTAATTGAAGTATCAGATTAAAAAAAACATGCGAAAACTTAGCTCAGTCTAGTGTTTCATTTACAAAAGGGAACAACTAAAACTAGGGATAGGCATTTCATATTAGGATGCCATTCCCATGTGTCAACAGTTTGTTTAGATTACTGAAAAGTACCAGCCAGTTCACCTTCTGCATTTGGATTTTAGGTCACAGCTGCTCTTGACTTTATGTGTTCAGAAAAAACTGCTTAGCAGAAAATGTTTTGGAAGCCTATGACAATAACAGAACTACATCCTTCCCAACAAGACTTCAGGGGTGAAGGTCTTGAACCGGTCGAGCTCAGCCACAGAAAATTAAATCTGTTGAGAATCTAAACACCAGAGGGCACTACAGAATTGTGTCCAAAACTGAGAGGGAGTGCTGTGGGTTAGTATACTGTTAAAGCTCTCCCCATGCTATCTTCAACTGGCAAAACAATTAAAAAATATTTTTCTAACTTTTAGAATTATTTTAAGGATAACCCAGGTATGGAAGCTTTTTTACTTGTGCTGCCACTTTCACTGCTTACATCTGATTATTACATGTTGAAATAAATACAGCCATTGCTTTTCACGTGAAAAGAGTAAGGTTATGTTACACAAGTATTATGATGACATCTGCACAAGCAGATCAATTAATGAGCCTGAACTACGGTCTATTAACTATTGCTACTTCTTTGCATTTTTCCAAAGTGGAAGAAACCAGAATGATGCCCAAATAATTACTTATGTTTATATAGAGTATCTCCCATCACCTTCCACCTCACCCAAGTAATTCATGATAGCAGAGATTTTTAACTTGGTGCTGCTGAATAAACTGGCTTATTAAAATTACTAAGTCAAAGCTTAAAAATCCACTTAAAATACTGCTTTTTCATGAACATGAAATTATTCATGTTAATATTACATCAAAGAGGTTATTTTAAGTTGCTTTAAAAACACTTGTGTTTTTATCTTGACGTTCCAGAGCCAGTGTTCATTTATTTTAAGGCCTTTTATAGTTAAATTTGCTGCAAACAACAATTCCTCAAGAAGCTAGCCTAGGAGCCTGCAGAGGTTTGATGAGTTAAAAGTTACTGGGATTCTGTTTCCCCCCTTTATTTTACAGAGGATTGAAAAGTTATGTTCCAACTATGTCCATAGGTACTGTAATCATTTTTGTGTGCTTGATAGGACAGAAATAATTATTTTCATCAGTATTTTACACAACCAGAAGGACTACTGAGCAATACTGTAGATTAGGACATGACGCAGGAACCACTAATAACAGATCATGGTGTTTTCCAATTTTATTTCTTTCTTTTGAAATATCTAACACATTTTATTAGTTGAATGTTAAAAATAAGATTTTTACAGTCACCTTAAGAGTTATAAAAAGATGCCACTATAAAAAAAAATACAAAAAATTCTGTGACAAAGTATTATTATTTAAAATTCAGTGTCCCAAAAATAGCCAAAGATTTTTTTAAGTACTTAGAGTTCATCATGCTGGTAGACATTGTACTCCTTTGCTGATATGAAACCATCTCCATCATGGTCATTCTTCTTAAATATATCAGCTAAGATTTCATCATGGACTGAGGGATGACGTTTTTTGCCATCTCTTGCAAATTCTTCTTTCAAATACTGGCTTATCTAGAAGAAAAGAGAAAAGTCCAACCATTGTGGTTTTTACGCCAGTACTCAACAGCTATCTTCAAGGATGCTTGGGGTATAAACGTAAGTTATTGTGACTCCAGTGCAGACAGGTCTAACGTTTACTTCCCAGCAAGTCTGAGACATACTAATGTATTAATCAAAGCAAATTTCAACATTGCACAGTGTAGCTTGTGTAAGCATACAGAAGCTTTACATGATGAACTGCAGCAGAGGCAGCTCATGTAAAGATAACACTGATGCAAGTACACCTGCAGTTTTATTAATTATTTATTCCAAATTAGTTACATCATATTACCTCAAGTTCAGAGAGTTTCTTGTCACTGTCCTTGTCTATTTTATTAAATGCTTCAACGCTGCGGGGTCCCTTATTTACTGCATAAAGTTCAATCTCAAAGATCAATGTTGCGTTAGGTGGAATCTTGCCCTGTGCTATGAATAAAAGAAAAAAAAGAAACCACACACTGTGGTCAGAGATCACACATATGATAGATTTACAAGTAAAGTGTCTGATTTTTTTCTTACAAAGTCTGTGTTAATATTCAGATTAAACTCTGAATTTAAATATTATACAGCTAGACAGGAAGATCGTTCAGACTGTGTTAGATAACTGATTTTGAGAGAAATTTGCAAACAATATACTTCCCTGAAACAAAATTATATTGTTCATATCAATTCAAATACTTTTAAAAATTAAGAAAAGGTTTGTGTTATCATGAAAAACAAGTATTTCTAAAGTTCTCACTCTTTCACATACTGTCATAAGATGGGGCTGGTTGAAAGACTGATTCTAAGACATACGCCTTCTGCAATATCTGCAATCTGATTTAAAAGATTACAGTAATAGACCAGTGCTCCTCTGTATTTTCTGTCTGAAGAAACAAGCACGCAATATCACGTTTTACCAACTTACTATGAATTATACCTATGGTTAAAGGACTTGATGTAAAATAGTGTTTAAAATAGACATCTCATTAGAAAGAAGCAATAGAATGTAAGTCATCTGATTCACCCCTCCCCCCCGCAAAAATCCCCAAACTAGTAGAGTATTTTGAAAAAACATGTTAGACTTCATTATTCCTGTGTCAAAGCATTTTCTTATATCTGATGTAAAAACACCATTGCCTATAAACACAGGTCAATGTATCACGCATCTGGCAAAAAAAGGGAACCGAAGAGAGACAGTAACAATCTAATGAGGTTTAAGTAGTGCCAAAAAAGCATCAAGAAATCATGCAGTGTAAAATTAAAATGTAAACATGCAAGTTGCTTCTATTCATAGCCAAAGCCAGTGAGCATGACATTGTAACCTCAGAATTTTGACAGAATTTTGAGCTTGTGCCTGTCCTTCATAAACTGAAGAACAACTAAAGAATCTACTTTGTTTATAAACAGAAGGTAAACAAAACTATTACTCACACTACTCATCTAAAATATCCAAAGTAAAAATGACAGGTTTCAGAGTTCAAAAGGCTTTAATCTTACAAGCTTTAAAAATGTAGTTTTTAATATATCTGAATATAAATCATGGTTTGTATACTACTAAAGAAAGAAAGATACAATACTAGAATTCAGTGCCAATAGTTCACAAATATACATACCAACAAAGGAAAGATACGTAAAGATTTAGAAAGTCACATGCATCTTTTCTAATTCAAGATTAGGCAGGCATCTTCCCCGGCATGCAGGAATATGCTGAGACAGAGGACAGGTATGCTGCAGGAAAATAATACTTTCTTGAAGTGCTACCTAGAACAAACAGTTAACACTAGTATTAAAGAACATACTTCTGTTTGTGTCAGCGTTTTTCCTTGTTGTTATGAGACTTCCTTATTAAACATTATGCTCAAGGGGAAAAATTTATTCCTAATAAAGTTCACTGGCTACAATGGAACTGTATGAAAGACAAAACTGGTCATGGAATTCTGACATAGTATCGCTACCAAACAATTACTACAGAGCAGGAGCTACCTTTTCACAGAAGCTACTACACCCAAGTCAGAGCTGAATTTAAGTTATCTACAATTAAAAGTGCTGAAACACTGCATAAAACTCCTGACTGGAACTTTTTTTTTTTTTTCAGTAGACTGCACACTTAAGTATTATAAATTCAAATCAGAGTTCATGCATTGTACTGTTGCAATTATTATGTAATGTGATGATATCATCTATTAACTATCCAGGATGTAAGCAGTATTTTAAACAAATTATTTCTACTTAGATTAATTCTGTGGCATGCACTGGATTACATTCCGTTTTGCTCAGAAGATGCAGAATGTCATTAAAAGGCTAAGCACGTAGAAGTCAAGTAATAGAAACTAAACATGAATAGAATATAATAGATTAAGACAAAAAATGCTGATACGAATCATGAAGATCTTCCTTTTGCTGTCAATTTTTCGTACTATGGCAGTACTTGGAAAAACACATCAGGTGCCATGTACTGAATTCTAATGCAAACGGCAAGGCCTGAGTGTGGGTCTATGATGAGGACTACTCAAACTGCACAGGAATGAGCAGGATTAGGCTGCATAGCTGCAGTCATCACCTTCAGTGCCTCCAAAAATAATGGGAGCATCAATTCTTCCAGTCACTTACAGTACTGTATGTTTGAAAGGGTCAAACAGAGGAAAGACAAAGTTTAATATTAAAACTTCTTTTTTACCGTATCCTTGCTGTCCATATGCTAATGACGGAGGAATGATCACTTTCCGTTTTTCTCCAGGACACATATTCATCATAGCAACATCCAACCCTTTTATGACTTGTCCAACACCCAGAACGAACCATTTTGGATGACCTTCATTTTGCGTCCGACTATTAAAAAGAATTGTGAGTGGTTAACAGTGAATTCAGTGTTTTTTAAAATATAAATAGCTTTAAATTAGCAGTCAGTAAAAACGTACATTAGATTATTAGAACACAAGAATGTTTAGAGTGCAAGAACATAAAGTATTAACACTGTTTTTCTGCTACATTTATAGTTAATTAAAGGTCAAATCTTGAGATGTATGAGGGGCAACCTCCTTTTGAAATCATAAAAACAGGTAAAAAACCCTAACTTCTTGTAAGAACATCCAATCTTCCTGATCATATACACTGCATGCCAGAAACAAGGCACCACTGCAGGAAGTTTGCGAGAAGAGGAGCGCTGGGAGCAATACACTACTAGGAAACAAAAAGTCTTCAGCAGTTCACATCACTGTGGGATGGAATGGGAGGGGAGGGAGCATGCATGGGTGTGCTGGGGGAACCTGGCAATCTTGACTGTGGTACTGTGTGCTCACCCACCACTCTGTTCAGTTTAGATATTCAGTGCTTGAGCCAGCTTCTAGTTATATGAGGTGTCCCCAGTATGAGAGCTACACTGAACGGCAACTGAGCAGCATGTAGCTCAACAGTCAGAGGGCAACACTGTATGTGCCAAAATCAGTCAGTTCAACAGGAAAAAAAATGGAAGTAAAATGGTACCGTTAAATGTAGAATTATCCTATATTGATTTTTTCTTAAATGATACAAGTGGGGGGAACGAGTCAAGATTTTGTAATAAACTAGGCCACTGCCTGTAAGATCTGTCCAGATATGGGTAAGGAATGAGCCAGGTATCTGAAGGAAAGAAAAGGCTCTCGTCCAGAGTTCTGCACAGGTTGAGTCCTGCCTTGCTAGCAGGATGCACCACCATTAAAAGCAAGGCACTGCAAAAATAAAGCTTTTGCACAACAGTTTCTGTGCAAAGCAAGTTAAACCAAGCTGAAACAGCCTGAAGATAGATGGATGGGACAAAAGGAAAAAGCTAAAGCCTAAATGCTAACACTGGGGCAAAGAGGAAGACAACACAAATCCAGAAGGGAAGCAGCAGCAGGGAAGGGCACAAAGACTGCAAACGACTAGCATAATACGGCTGCCCTGCACAATGCCAAGTACGTACAAGAGCGTGCAGTACTCAAGTTTCTGTCTAAAATAGTCAGTCTGCGTCCCTACCAGGAACTCCTTCTCCAAACCCGAGTTTTTTCTGCCCAGATTACAGCACAGAACATGGCAGGGATTAACATGGTGGGGTTTTTTTTCACCTTGCCAAAGGGGTTCCCCGTGTGAGGTGTGGGCTACGTTCTCTCAGCGACCCTCCCAGCTGGTCCCCTTCGCTGGCAACAACTGCCAGTCTCAAGCGTGGCTTTGGTTTCCAGCTTACCTCAGCGCTGGTCCCTCTTGACCCTAGGTAAATCCTACATCCTTCAACACTCGGCTGAGGAAAAAGGAAGGCTGAGATGGGGGGAAATCCCTAATGCTGACGTGGTTAGCGTGGACCCCGAGCTGTGCCCACGCTGTGACCCGCCGCTCCTGGGGGCGGTCAGGCTGTGCCACGTACACTGCCGGGCCAGGGCCTACCTTCCCTTCCGCCCTACTCGGTGCCCCGGGGGCCCACCTGCAGTAGAACTTGGATCCGTCGCTGGCCAGGAAACCGTCGTAGTGCGCGTTCAGCAGATCCCCCCTCTTGCTCTTCGGGCTGCAGACCTCGGGGAGGTGCAGCACCTCTATTTTAACTTCCTCCGCCGCCGCCGCCGTGCCGCCTTCGGCCTGCGCCGGGGCCGCCAGCAGGGCCAGCGGCAGGAGGAGCAGGGTCAGCCCGCGGCCCATCTCGCTTCCAGGAGGCCGCCGGCGTGGCACTTGTCCCCGCCGGGCCGAGGGGCGGGAGTCCGGGCCCGCGCT